GCAAAACAACGCCTTTTAATGGCGGTGATGTCGATGATTTATTGATAATAACTAAAGGCGTTAATATTACGGTTCTTCTATTGATCAGGGTACAAAATAATAGAGAACTTTGTGAGATGGGTCACCGAACACGTTACTTTTCTTTTTTCACTACGTGTCGTCTTTTTTCTTTCTTTTTCAAAGATTCCCAAAATGAATGTAGTTTAATTTCAGGTCATTGAAATAATTCTTTCAACTTTACTTCATTTACATTAGAAAATATTTTAGGAAGTTTCAGACAAGTTGAAGAATTGTTTGGATTACTTAACTCTAAATATGCTACTTTCAAATGTCAGAGGGCAGGATATACATTTAAACAATGCTCATCGTACGCGAGAGACGAGGCAAATATTTTGAATAGCTAACGTATACGATGTGTGGACATCACAAACAATTGTGTCTAATACAAAGGTAGGCTTAGCATACGTAAAGGTTTATGGAGCTTAAACAGCGTAATTAAACGTTAAACAATAATATTATGCCTATAACTTATAAGCTATTGAATAAAATAAAACAATTGGTAAGATTTCCAGGGGATCCCTATACACTGGCAGGAACGTTGTACGAAAATCTGTTAAGTGTTAAGTATAGGCTGGATAGTTCTATAACTTAATATTTGTCAACATTTCACTGTTTATAGGTTACTGCAACAACTAAGCTACCAGGAGGTTTCAAACGGTTAATAGAAATCTGACGCAACAATCGTGTGTGTGTTTTTTTTTTTGTAAAGTTAAAATACCAAACTTACCTCACCGTCATTAACGTATTGGTTATATAGTATTGAAAAAAAAAATCACCGAAGAAAAAGGTCGAAAACAAAACAATAAAAGTATAAAAAATCAATACGAATTTATTAGATATCAAACATTAATATCGAGTACAACATGAAAAATTAATGCAAAGGTATTTAAAAGTTAGCATTTATGCAAATTATTTCATTGTATTAATTATCGAAGTGTGTTGTTTCAGGTTGTTTTTTTAAGCGGTGTTTTTGAGATAGGCACAGTCGCATGGTGTTATTTGATGGTCATGTTTTAATTTAAAATTCATTTTGGCCTGGAGTGGCCTAGTGGTTAACGGACTTGAACTATGAATCCGAGGGTTCCCCTTTCACGTCCCATTACTACAAAACTATGCTCCTCACTTTGGGGCTGTAGGTGCGCTATAAGTGTTGGCGGTGGATGCTGTTGATTACCTTCCCTCTAGTGTGTCAGTTTAAAATTAGGAAGTGCTATACATGAATAGCCCTTTTGTATGTTTGTGCGAAATAAAACAAAGAAACTTTAATGAAAGAGTTACAGTCTTTCGCCACGTGATTTTCTTGTTCAGCATACTGAATTACTTTTCCACTGTCAAATTCAAATAATCAATATTAACTTCTTAACACATTAATTAAATTTAGAATAATTCAAATAAATATTGCATCTACTAATGTTGACAATTCGTTGGTACTGATTAGCTAGGTACAGTAATTTACTTACCACAGTAGAGTTTGGAAGAATAACCATCAGTATTGAACACAAGATGAATAGCTAAGTATCATGATACTCCGGACAAAGCGGACTTATAATTTGTAATGACTGCATGGCATTGAATCGGATCTTACACGTCATCCACCGTTCTCAACACTTTCGGCTATGATTCAAGTAGTGTTTTGCCAGTTTTAGACACTTAGTCTTTATGAAAATACAGGGCGGTCCACAATTATCATTCTTATCTTAAAATGTCATGATTAACTAACTAAGGAAATGTAACGATATAACAGTTTTTAATGACATATCAGTAGACTTCTACATGTACACCATTAGTGGCTCTCAGCTCGTCTAACCGATATTCGATTTCAGTCCACGTTCGTTGCAATATGTACACAGTTACAGTGGCGATGGCATCCTTTATTATAGTCTTCTTGCTTTTGATGTGCGATACACGATATCTTTAACATACCCCCCATACTTCTTTCCTATACTGGCATCTGTATTTACGCTGCACCACAGTTACTGACTTGGTCTCTGCAAGCCAAACGACCAATTGAACCTCTTCTTACACGTTTGCCATTTTATGGGGCAACACTACTCACTGGAGTGAAAACAAAACTAAAAACATGATGATAAAAACTGTTCGATATGGGCTAGAAGATGTTGAAACCTGCATGATTGTATTTTCTTAGTTATTTAATTAATAAATTTTAAAATATGATAGATAATTTTGGGCCACTCTGTATTATTTTTCAAGACATCTAAAAAATTCAAAGATACAAGATGGATTTTTTTATAAGTACCACATTTTAATTTGTAAGTATTATCAACACACATCAATGTTTGACTTGTGGATAATTAGCTTTTACTCTAATATCTTCCACACGTATGACTCTTCGTGTTACAAATATCTGATATACCCGTTCGTGTATTTTATATTCATTAATTTTACCTCAGAAAACATTGTTTGTATACTAAATTGTTAGTCCGAACCCTACGTTGTTTGTATACTAAATTGTAGTCCGTATCCTACGGTGTTTTTATACTAAATTGTTAGTCCGAATCTTACGTTGCTTGTATACTAAATTGTTAGTCCGAACCCTACGTTGTTTGTATACTAAATTGTAGTCCGTATCCTACGGTGTTTTTATACTAAATTGTTAGTCCGAATCTTACGTTGCTTGTATACTAAATTGTTAGTCCGAATCCTACGTTGTTTGTGTACTAAATTGTTAGTCCGAATCCTACGTTGTTTGTGTA